TGAATTTCTTTGAACAGCGTTTTAGAACCGGCTTGCCATTCATAAGTTATAAAAGATTTTTTGTAGTTTTAAAAAAGCTGCAATTTTTGAAATTTTTGCGGGCTTTTCGGAAACCATTCGAATTGTCAGCGCAGACATTTAGAATTTTATGGACCTGCTTTAGGTTGATTTCAGATTAAACAGATTGACCGGAAGTCCTTACATTTTGCTTCCATACTGTAAGTGAATTTTTTCGCTTCATCGGTCATTTTTTTCGGTTCATTTCAGGATGTTGGAATTGCCACCAGACTGGTCTGTACAGTCAAAGGATTTGGTGGTATGGCAGTACAAGGAGAATGAATATCTGATAAGACCTGGTGATAAAGATGAAAGCGTCATTATTGTTTTGGAAGGAATTATCGCAGTTTACATAAGCGTACGCCTAAATTCTATAAAGAAATTTTTTTTCAAGTATGATCGAGACAAGTTAAAAAAAACGGCCAAAGTTCCAAGAGTAATTTATAAAGAAGGCAAAATTTTCACTTCTGGAATGGCTGTAAATGATCATTTGCCTTACAGCACAAAGAAGAGGCTGGAAATTCCCTGTTGTACTTGAGTCTAAAATAATTTTAAATTAATTTTTCCCATTAACAAGCATTTTAAATTAATTTTTCCCATTGGAACGAAACACTATGGTACTTTTTCAGCATACCGAAGGCAAGGAACACATGGTTCGAAAAATTTCTGTTGGGGACAGCTTTTTCAGTCTTCTCTCGGTGCTTGATGTCTTCATGGTATGTTTGGGATTGTTTCCTTCCACTGTCCAAAAAACACTAATAGTTCTACGGGCACCAACGGTTATGTGGACTAATCGTTTTATCTACATCAAGCTCTCAGTGACAGTTATAAGAAGTTTTAAAGGTGTAATAATTAAAAATTAAATGGAAATAGCATATGAAGTATTTTTTATACAAAAAGTGTTTTTTATATGAAAGGTAGCGTCGAAAAAAAATTGATCAGCTAAACAAGAATGTTTCTGCCCAAGAAGTCGCATGCAGCATTCCTTTTTAACAATACAAGTGGGCTTCGTCATTACGACGGTTGTAGTATCAAATGACTTTAAGTGCAACATATTTGAAATATATTCGACAAGAAAATGACGTAAATACGGAATGTTTTAGAGGGATTAGTTAAACAGTTGTGACCTAAAAATGATGGAGACGAAAATAATGGAGCAAAAAAGGAGTGGTACTATTGTGTTGGTGAAATAAATAGAAGTGCGCACCGGAATAACCAGTGTGATCGTGCGTTTTTGTGCGTTTTTGCCGTGCAGCGCTAGAGCGCTGCAGCAGGCAGCAAAAACGCATATTGCAACGACCCTGTCAGTGTGTGTGTGTGTGTATGTATGTATGTATGTGTGTATGTTTGTGTGTGTTTGTGTGTTCGTCTGTCCGGGTATTTCAACTCGCCAACCACGCAGGCTTTGAAGTTGAAATTTTGTCAGTGTATTCCCCAGCCAAGTGCCACCCAGAACTGCGGAATCAACTCTCACGCACGTCTGGGCGCTGCGTACGAGCATGTGAAAGTTTTGGCGGGAAAACTGATAACTCGGGAGCGAGAAAAGCTGGAAAGCTGAAACCTTATGGCAATGTTCCCTATTCGTTTATGACAAAAAGGTTTCAAATTCAGCTGCCCAGGACCGCCCGGGGCTTACGTAAGGACACGTGAAAATTGGCGGGAAAATTCATAACTCGATAGTGAGAAAAGTTAGGAAGTTGAAACTTTGGGGTAATGTTCCCTACCCACGCACGACCAAAAGTTTTCAAACTCAGCTCCTTAGGACTGCCCGGGGTTCACGTACGGGCACGTGGAAATTTTGGCGTGGAAATTGCTAACCAGGGAACGTGATAAGCTAGAGAGCTGAAACCTTAGAGTAGTGTTCACTAACCGTGTATGACAAAAAGTTTTCAAATTCAGCTGCCCAGGACCGCCCGGGGCCTACGTAAGGGCACTGAAAATTATGGCGGGAAAATTCATAACTCGAGAATGAAATAACTTACAAAGTTTAAACTTTGGGGTAATGTTCCCTACTCACGCACGACCAAAAGTTTTCAAAATCAGTTCCCTAGGTCCGCCCGGGGCTCACGTACGGGCATGTGAA